TTATTAATTGCTGTGTATGTATGTTATTTGTTGTTAATAAGCAAATACATCAGGATTTATAGGATTGTTATTATTCTTTTGGAAGAGAAACATTCACTTGTTAAAGTTCTTAAAATGATTATTAGTTTGATGTAAAAAAGAACAAGTTTATGGAAGACTTAAATGAAAAGAAATTCAAGTCTATCCAATGAAATCTTAACACTAAAATTAGAAGAATCTATTGTAGTTTTAGGGTGGCTGCTATATAAGTAAGTATTTTTTCTGTTTAACGTTGGCTTCGGCGTTTTAAATTTAAAATATAAAATTAATCGTAATATAAATTAAATAAGGAGAACATAGAAAATAAGGGAAGAGGGGCAAATACAATTTTATCGTTTTAAAACAAAAGTTGTAATGTTGCGCGTTTTTTGTTTTTTTTATGGACTAGTATCTAACATACCGTCCTTTAATCTATAATAGTTCTTTTAATTTTTATTTTAAATCTACACCTTAAAAACACTGAAGCATCCTTCTCTTACATCAAACGACATTTTTCTTCACCTTGCTGTTGTTCTGGATCACCCTGCTGATGATAGAGTTCCTCATTGCCCACACCATCGAGTACTGAAACGCTGGCACGTCCACTTACACCGGCGCCGGATCTATGACGTGAAACATGACGTACAATCGTACGCTTGATACGTTCTGAGCCGGCTACTTCTTCGCCATCGCTGTTGAAGAGAGAAGTTTTTATGCTATCGCCACCGAACCATTTTTGTGTTTTCATCACAATATTTGTTGGTGGTTCGTGGGTTGCACCAGGAGCATCTGATGACCAAACAGTTATCGTGGCACCGCCATCAATTTTCACACTGCGATGGAACTTGAAAGTACTTTCTTTGCCATCGGCAGTACGTTTTAATTGCCAACCACCAATTTGTACCTCATTCTGTCCCTTGTTATGTACTTTAACGAATTTACCCTCAGGATCAAATTCAGAAATTTCAATATCACCTTTGGCACTGCTGGTGACAAAGAATTCCGATTGACTTACGTCTTCGGATTCATCGACAACGGTACGTTTACGTTTATAAGCGCCGGGGGCAGTAGATGGTGCACGCATTGGTGTCTTACGGTGAGGAGTAGCACGAGACGAACGTAAAGATTGGCTAAGCGATGTAACTGTTGCGCCACCACCAGAGGGTGTAATATTGAGACGTGATTCTTCGCCACATAAGAGTTTGTCGTAGGCGGCAATTTCCAAATCCAAAGAAACCTAGAAGCAAGAAGAAATTAACTTATTATCCCTTGGAACCCAAAATGAGAAAATACAGCTAGAAATTAAAACAAGACTTATGCTATTAAAAACAAAAGCTGTAACCAATTAATTTCCCACTGAAGCTAACACTTTAGCTTATTCACACATTCTATACAAATTTAGTACATCAATGTCCCATTTGCTGGCAAAAGCTTTTATAGAGCAGTAAATAGTGATTTTTTGGTAATGTCAATTTAAATGTAGTGTGTACAATAAACCGTGTGACACTTCAGTGCCGTCTGATGATCTCTTTCTATTATATATTCTCCAAAATCCAATTTAATAATAGAATTTCGAATTCCGGTCATGTTTCTATTCTATAACAAACTCACCTTAATATCCATCAAATCTTGATATTCTTGCAACTGTTGGGCCATTTCATCGCGCATACGTTGCAGCTCAGCTTCCAAAGCAGACATGTCAGCATTGTGGCGAACTCTCTCATCATCCAACAATTGCTCGAGATCACGGATACGAGCATTGAGGGCAGCATTTGTGGATTCCAATTCATTAATGCGGCTGTTCAATCCGTCAATACGAGTACGTGTAGTACGTAATTCATCGATGGCTGAGGCAGCAGCACCAGAGTTTCGGTTGGCAGCAGCTTGCAAATTCTTAATTTTCTGCTCATAACGAGTTTCAATATCATCACGATTGGCACGCATTTGAGACTCATATTGTTCGCGTAGCTCTTGCAGAGAACTCTGCAATTTGGCTTCGTATTGTTCCATAAGACGGCCATCAATTTCACTGATTTCCACCTGGCGACGTGAACGAGTTTCATTGATTTCTTGCGAGTGTATTTGATCCTTGAAGGTCAATTCTTCACGCAGACTCTGAATATTGTTCTCGAGATCAACACGAGCCAAAGTTTCATCTTCCAAATGTTTGCGAGCCTCATCCAATTGTTTGCGCAAACGATCGAGTTCATTTTGTAAATCTTTCAATTCATCAACTGCCTTCTTGCGATCAGCATTGGCAGCATTGAATTTGGCGCTTAAATCAGCGGCACGTGATTCATACATGCGGGCATTTCCTGTTGATGAGTAAGGGAAACAAAATAATTACAACTTTTAATTTAAAAAATTGCAGTTGCATACATTTTGATTGCTTTTATTGGGAACCCCTAGTTTTGTGCTGCCAAATTAATGACAGACGAACACCCTAACATTATTTGTCAAAACAACTATTTGACAACTTATAAAAATACAGACACATGTAGAAAACGAACGAAAAAAAAAAAAACAACACGGCATTGACGTTCGTTATGAAGACGAAAATAAAAAATAAAGAAAAAACAAATACACACAAAACACATAATCGCAAAAGAAAAGTTCATATAGAAATTAAATTAAGAACAAACTCACCTTCAGCAACTGAACACTCTTTAGTTTTCTTGTCCAACTTGGCCTTCAATTCTTCATTTTCTTCCCAGAGTCTCTTGATGTCGATTTCCAGTTTAGCCTTTTCGCGGGCTGTATCGTCCAACAAACGCCGGGCGTCACTCAATTCATTCTCATACATGGACTTGACATTGGTGGCTTCACGCGTAATGGTATCGCGTGTTGTTTGCACTTCAATTGATAAGCGGGCATTTTCGGTTTCCAAATTGCGGACACGGTCGATGTAGGCGGCCAAACGATCATTCAAATTTTGTAATTCAGCCTTCTCCTGCAGGCGAGAATGGCGTGTTGGACTCAAAGGACTGGCAGGACGATTGGCTCCCGTCATCATGGGTGTACTAGTGCCACTGGGTTGTGGTTGGGGCGTGGCAGTACCCGCGCGTTTTGATTTTGTTGCCATTTCACAACTTTATAGTTTTTATTATTAGTTGAATATATTTTTTTTAATATTTTCAACACACACTTGACAAGTTTTATTTTTTTCTTTCTGTCTTGCACAAATCCCAACGACCGCGAACTGATTAAATTCCACAGTGACTGACTAAACACACAAACTTTCGAACGTTATGAAAAAATAAAAAACACTCACTCTCACACACTTACGAATATGGTGGCTAGTTTTATTTTGTAAAAGCAAAAAAATAAAAGTGACAAAAAGTTTTAAACGGCAGAAAGCAGCAGGCAAAAAGTATGTAGTATATTTATGTATGTGGTATGTATTTTTATTTTAATAAATAAAAATGTGTTCCCAAAACACTCGCTCGCCAACTGGTGGATTTGATTTGTAGGTAGCAGAAATAGAAGAATCAAAACGAAATTGTTAAAATAAAACGGACAGATAAATTCACACACTAGTGTACAAAAGCAGCGGCAGCAAACTAAACTGAACCGAGAAAATTAACCACCAGAGAGCATTAACTAACAGCAAGCAACACACAAACAAGTGCTCACATAAGTGAGAGCAACTGTACTAAAACGATGATGTTAACTGAACAGAAACGTTAGAAAATCAACATAAGCGTTAGCAGAGGACGCTGACGCTTTGCAAACACAATTTTACCAAACCTACAACAAGGCAGCGCTCCTAAAAACTTAACGAAACTCTTGTGCTGTTACTATTTTTATTACTTTTTGTTTTGTTTGATTTCTTTTTGGTTCAATAATGTTTATTTTTACAAATTTGTTGTTGCTTTTTCTTTATTTTCAAATACATACACAAATATTTTATTTTTTACTACTATGCACTTTTTACCACTCCTCTTTATAAATTAAGCGAAAACAAAAAAAAATTGTTTGGCTTTTGGGTAATTTATTATTGTATTTTCAATGTAACTTATTAACACAATCTTACGAAATTGTTTTAAGCACACTTTATAACTGGTTTGTGTTAATTTTAATACACCAAATGCTGGGAAATTAATTTATGTTTAAGAAAAACTGCACTACGATGAAAATCTCTCGTTGAAAAGTAAAAAATAGAAGCATCCCAGGCCGGTTCTTTTAAATTGTCAAAGAAAGCGTCGTTGAAAATCTACAATGATGCCATATCTAGAATATCTGCAGTTATTAGGTGATGCCACGTATATATAAATGATTTAACATTGCCAGATTCTTAAAATGACCGTTATTTAATAAAGGAATTACAAATAATGTACTGTTATTGGCAGACATATATCAAAGATCCACAGGAACATAGGTCGTTGTCCCGATAACAATTCTAAATATGTGAACTTAATTTAAAGTCGATTTTTAAACACAATTAATGATCTTCTCAAATATTTCCCACTGAGATGTTACCCAGACTTTGGAGTATGAATTATCGAAATACTCTAATCTCACGCCGAAAGTAATATGTCTAGAGCTACTCATATGACCTGTTTTAAGGATTCCTTAACACCTAGTAGGTCTAATAACGACCCCCAGTTACTAACTACATTAGTAACTAGTGTCACATTAATTCTGTCTAACATCTAAAACTAAATTCGAATACATCTAAAATATTTTAAGTCTAAATATGGGTTAGTAGAAAATAAAATCCTATTATCATTTTAAAGGTATAGAAAAAGTATGTAATTTGATTTTTGTACAATATTTTATAGAATTGACCTTAAAGATCCAAAATATTAAAATGATTTCAAAACTGAAATACCGATAATTTTTTAAATCTAATATTGTATTCTATTTTGTTTAGAACATTTTTAAAGTTGCAGTTAATTGAAACGTGTTTTTCTTGTTATTGAAAAGCTCATTCAATATAATAAATAATATACATTTAAATCACAGAATTAAAAACAAACAAGTTTAGTTATTTGTGAAAGAGTTTCACTATTTTTTTAATTTGAAATGGAAAAAGTGTTATAAGTTTACAATGTTTTTTTTAGTAAATTTCATTCTTAAAACGTAAGTTATTTCAAAAAATAAATAGTTGTGTCTTCAAACTGATATTTACTACAATAATTTTGCTAAAATTAACAATTTAGAATTGTAAGTATAAGTGATTCAAAAATATGTAAGTATATGTATGTACCTATATCACTAAAATGTTTATGTATATTCATAAAACAGCAAAAGCTTATTTCTCTCTTTTTCTAAAAATTTAAATTTAAAAATAATACAACTTATAAAATTATCTTAAAGAAACTTAATTAATTAAGCCTCACACTTGCACCCCTACTGATTTTACAGCTTTTGTTTGTATTTATTTCCATTAAGCTTCTAATAAAAACTCATTTATAAGCGGAGCCACACGTTCCGGTGTGCAAAGATGCAAGTGATGTGTGCCAGGTACTTCTTTGTATATCACAAGTTCAGCATTTTCTTTTAGAGTTTCAATAACTTGTTCGTAGACTTGAGGATTTTCAAATTTCATGCCCGGATTGCCGCGAATGTTTAAAACTTTACAGCGTATACGTTTGGCATAGGCTAATACTTGTTCAGCTGTAAACATACCAAGTAGAGAGATTTTTAAACGTAAATCTCTGGAAAAGTGATAACCGTTTTTGTGCAAATGTTGGGGTGCCGTTTCCATACCACGTTCCATCAATATCTTTACCGAATACTCATCAACGGAGCCGTCATAAGCATCTAAGACCAGTTTCACCATTTCGTCGTACGTATAACAAGGTACTTTGGTTTCAGGTAATGTTTCATAGTCCAAAAATTTATCTAATGCCCATCCCGTTATGTCGGCATGACGTTCAATACTGCGCACTGTGGGCCCAGCAATGTCAATATTTATTAATTTTTCCACCTCTGTGGGGAAACTAGCGGCATACATAAACGTTAGAGCACCACCCAAGGAGTGGCCCATTAAAGTCACACGTTTCCAGCCATATTTGCGTACAATGCGACGAATCAGACATATACCATCCCAAAATATGAAATATTGCATGCCTTTGGGGTAATGTGAAGATTTTCCATGACCTGGTAAATCAATGCACAGGACGGGTATCTCTGGTGGCATAAGTGGGCATAATCTATCGAAGCTACCACAATTATCTTGCCATCCGTGCAATGCTAGTATTGGTTGTTTATTACGACTTCCCCACCATTTTCCTGTAATAAAAATAAACATTAGAAATAAATGAAAAATTAAAAAGTTATAAAATTCAGACTTCTTTTTGGAAAAACTTTAATTAAGGAAATTTTTGCAAAATGTAATTTTTTCACTTTTTAACAAATTTCAGTTAATATTAGATTAAAATTAACTCAAAACTTAAATAGTTTGTAAATAAATAATGTTCAAGATCAATTTTAATTAATTATCTATGGCATTTTATAAAGAAAGATTATTATATAAATATGATAAAAAGGTGAACTATTATATCAATTAAACTATATTCGAAAACCCAGTTTTTTAAAAGCTTAATTAGCATGTTAATTAAAAAATGTTATAATTAAAAATGTTATAATTCTACGTAATGATTCACTTGTTTACAATGTGACGTATTTATAAAAAATACTTATTTCATTAGAATACTAATTATAATCAATAAAACAAAAATCTAAGAAATTTGATAAAATTAACAAAGTTCAGCAGGCAAGCAGACGACAAAAAACATTTTTTGTGATTAATATTTTTTGAGAAAATGTAAAGTCATTATACTAAAAGCAAATAAAAATGATAAGGAAATAAATTCTATTGACAAAATGTTAAAACCAAAATATATTACATACGCACGCCTTAATAATAATTTATTAATTTTACTTACCTTGTACTGTACCCCAGGGCACCTCAATAGTGACTTCTTCCCAAGAATCTCTATTACGTACAGTGCCATCTATGGAAAGAGTAAAAATAAACAGAAAGTGTTTCAAAAATATTTCACAGACTTGCTAGACAAAAAGGTATTTGACTCTCTCATTCAAGTGGTCTGTATGTATTATGCAAATATTAAAAAAAAGACAACAGAAAACATGATAAAAAAAGATACACAAACAAAACAAGTTCACCTTTACGGACTTTGAACTTGAACTCTTTAAATTTAAACCAGGTCTTGCTATTTGAGAGTTTTGTAAGTACTTACTGGTTATTTGACTACCGGAAGATCCATTCATGGTGCCACCATTAAGGCTACTATTATTAGAATAAACCGTACTCGCTCCATCCATGTTGTCGTTGTCACAAAAGATTTATTTCTATTTGGGAAAACAGACTATTTTACAATTTTCTATTAAAATGTTTTCTTTTTACAATGGGTTTTTTGTCACTTCACAGTAGAGCTTCTAATCAATAAATTACACACAACAGCAAGAAAATAATCCGTCAATTTATCAGACAATAGTTATGATGGACGGGCGAGTGTGTGGTCTCATCCAAAAGCTAGCGCAAATATCGAACCACACGATACTATTTTTGTAGTTGCGAAATTGAATGAAATCGTATTTATTATAAAAAAACACGACCAGCTGATATGGTAAACAAAATGCAGTGGTGTTAATTTTAAGATTTATGAAGAATTTTAGCGAGAAATTAGAATCTTCTATTCTAGCGATTTTTAATGCATGTCGTCGGTAACTTGGAATTATTAATTTGCCTACAAATCTTATTTAAGGAAACTTTGAAGTGTAAATATTCAAGTTATCGAGTTATTAAACAAGGAGTTTAAAAATCTAAATTTGCATAACAAAGAAACATATTTTGCAGTGTACCTAAAGAGTATTTTCAGATCTGGTAACGTTAACATATAAAAGAAAAATCTGGTCTGGTAGCGCTAACAGCTGTTGCAAATTTCACAATAACAAAATTTCTGTGCAGCTTGAATTGAAATTTATTGCATTAATATCGTGTTTTCTATTCAAATTCTCCTGAAAAATGATGCCTGAACCCGAAAATTGTCCGGGTGTGCAAAGCGCCAATGCCGGTTTAGGAAGTGCCTGTCAAGGATGTCCCAATCAACAAATCTGCAGTGATCCTAATAAAAAACTGGAAGATCCCGGCAAAGCACTGGTGGCAGAAGCTATGAAGGATGTCCACAATAAATTATTGATATTGTCTGGCAAAGGAGGTGTCGGCAAAAGTACAGTGACCATGTTACTATCACGTTATTTGGCCAGAAGTTACAATGATAAAAATTTTGGCGTTTTGGATATTGATATATGCGGACCCTCCCAACCGCGTCTATTGGGTGTAGAAGGAGAAAACGTTCATCAGTCTGGTTCGGGATGGTCCCCGGTTGGGGTAGATGATAATATATGTTTAATGTCAATTGGCTTTTTATTGGGTTCACCAGATGATGCTATCATTTGGCGGGGGCCCAAGAAGAACGGCATGATACGGCAATTTTTAAGTGAAGTTGATTGGGGTACGTTAGATTTGTTGCTTTTGGATACTCCACCTGGCACATCGGATGAACATTTGTCGGTAATATCTTATTTACGTGACGAAAATCAACCTCAAGCCCTCAAAGCTATTATTGTTACAACGCCCCAGGAAGTGTCACTGTTGGACGTGCGCAAAGAGATTAATTTTTGTAAAAAACAAGGCATACAAATTTTGGGTGTTATTGAAAATATGAGCAGTTTTCGTTGTGGTCACTGTGGTAATACATCGGAAATATTTCCGGCCAAAACGGGTGGTGCCAAAGGTATGTGCGATGAAATGAATGTGCCATTTTTGGGCTCATTACCTTTAGATCCGGAATTGACAAAAGCCTGTGACAAAGGTGAAGATATTACTTCGCTAAAAAATTCCACGACTGAAGCTTTAGAGGTAATATGTAAAAATATTTCTAAAATTTTTGATGAAAAACGTTAAAAACAATTGCTACTCCCATATTATTAGTTGCATAAAAATAAATTTAAAAATTAATTTGTATATTTAACATCCTATGCACTTTTTGTATATTTTTATAGAGTAATAAAATTACAGATTTTGTAAAATTATGTGGTCAAAAGTACTCCATTTCTTATGTGTTCTATAATTTTTTTTATTAGTTATGGTTCTTCTAAATAATAAATGATCAATGTTTAAGAATGTAAAAAAAAGAAAAATAGTTAATTATTAATTTTTCAAAAATGTATGAGCATGTTAAAAAATTAAATATATAAAACGCTTAAATAATAATATGTAATAGTGGTTGAGTTGTGAGTGTGTATGTGTGTGGTCAGGTCATTCAATAAGTGAATGATTGTCTTGTATTAATATGAAATATGACAGATACAAATATATGGCCATAAAATGTAATATTGTAAAATACACCTGCTGAACCCAGTCAATGGGAGACATTTAAAAATAATAAACAATAACAAACATCAGTTGGAGGTTACAGGTGGCAGGGGTTTCTTGAACTGACTGTCGGTAAATGTAGCATTTTGTGTTACATCCATTTGAAGAGTCTGTGACAAAGCCGTACTTTCGCCTTGAGGTATGAAAGTCATATTAGCACTGGAACGACCATCACATGAAAGTTGAGAAGACGTTACACCGGTACTTTCTCCCTGGGGAGCAAATGTTGAATTGTTACTGGGGCGGGGTGCTGACTGGGACAAGACGTTGGCGGCAGATTCAGAATTTTCGTTATTTTCTTGCTGGCTACTGGGAATAGCTTTTTGTGCTGAAGCACTTGGCGGTGGGGAAGCATCTATAGAGTCATTAAGGCTCACAGACTTATCGGCCAGTGCTTGTGAGGGTTGCACAGCTGTCAGGTTAGAAAGATCTGCTGCAGTTCCCACAAGCATATGGGCTGGTTGGGAATGTAATGCTTGTGTTTGGGTCTGATTTTGAAGTTGTTGTGTTTCCATTAGTGGCATTTTAGGTGGTTCGTTTTGAATGCACACTGAATCTGTGCAATCTTTAACTTTGTATATGCCCACCAAGTAATCAGACAATTCAAACATGTTCGAGCGCAGAGAAATGATAATAAATTGAGCATTTTTCGTTCTCTCCTTAATGTAATGGGCCACAATTGATATATTTTTAAAATCTAAAGCCGCGTCGATTTCATCCATAAAGTACAGCGGCGAAGGTTTGTAGTAATGTAGAGCAAATACCAAAGCCAATGAAGAAAGTGTTTTCTCACCACCCGACAGGTTTGATATGTTCTTCCAGGTTTTCTTAGGAGGTCTGACACTGAAGGATACACCTTCGGTGAAGGGATCCATGGAATCGACTAATTCGAGTTCAGCATCACCACCCTGTGTAATCATTTGATACATTTCTTTAAGTTTTCTGGTAATAATATGGAAACCCTGCATAAATTCGTTGTAACGCTTCTTGCGGACATCATCATACAGCTGTCTCATTTCGTTACGTTTACAGGTGATGTCTTCCAATACCTTTACTCTCTCCAGATACACATCTCGTTTCTCGATATATTCGGAGATGCACGACAGATTTGGTTTCTTTTTTAATAATTCTTCTTGCACACTCTCCTTGTATTGGATATCTTGCAATGTGTGTGTGGCCAGTTCTTCTTCCGTATATGTTTTCAAAGGTGTCTGAGGTTCTGAATCACCCGGTATTTCATGTAAACGTAGTGGTTTCAATTGCTCACGCCAATGAGGTATTTGGGCTTTGACATCAGATAGTTTCGATGCTACTGTTTGTAATTTTTGATCAATTTCAATACGTTTAAGTTTTAAATCACTTTCCTTCTTTTGTATTGCCGTTATTTCTTTGTGCACTCCTGAAAATTCTGATTTAGCCTTATCGATTGCCTCTTTTGCTTCTTCCAGCTCTTTAGTTAGGGCAGTTATATCATCATCAAACTGCTGACGCTTCTCACTGAGCAACTTCAATTCGTCTTGGGCTTTTAGCACGTCTGCCTTTAAACGTTCGATCTGCTGTTCAAGTTTAGCAACATTACGTTCATTATTTGTCGATTCTACTTTTAATTTTGAAATGTTTGCCTTTAATTTCTTAATCTGATTTTCAAGGCTGTTTATTTTAGTTTGCACCGCCTTGATTTTATCTCCATGTACTGCGTCAATTTTCGATTTAATTGCAGCAATTTGTTCATTTACTTGAACTGCAGCTTCTTCTGCTTCTTTGAGTGTTTCCTTTTTCTTAACTATCGATTCCTCAATGGATTTAACTTTGCCTTGATCGGTGGTTGTATCTTGCATTCTTTTCTTCTGAGCCTCCAATTGTTTGAATATACGCGGCAACTGTTCTTCCAAACTTTTTATTGAGATTAATAGTTTTTGAATTTCTGCCTCGTTGCGCTGTTGAGTTGTATTCAGCTGATAAATTTCGCGCTCAAGGCGTCCCTGTTCCTCTTGATTAAAATTGATTTGAGATTGCAATTCTTGGGCCTTTATTTGCATGTCTTCGAGAGCCTTTTGTGAAATCATTGAAGTTTCGGCTGATTTGCTTGTATTGGTGCGGACCTTTGTGCCCATTTTACCACGAATTTGTGTGCGCCCACCACCAGACATGGTACCAGAGGTCTCAATTACATCACCATTAAGTGTAACAACACGAAAACGTTTTGCGCCGTAAGCAATGCGGGTGCCTTGTTCCAAATCATTAGCCACTAATGTATTGCGCAATGCAAAATAAAAGGCAGGGGTAACTCGATTATCCTCTACACGCACCAAATCGAAAAGACGTGATGAATTTTCAGGACTAAAATAAAAGAAATACATTTATTTTGATTATAGTAATAGTAGAGAATATAGGTACTAACGTGTGTATAGGTCCACATTGATTTCTTAAATGTTCCACCTTTTCCAGGGCAATAAATGAGGCACGGCCCACATCGTAACGTTTTAAATGTTCAATACATTCCTGAGCAGTATTCACTGTATCTACAACAATATTGTCGAGACGTCCGCAAGCTGTAGAGATAGCAACATCATATTTACTATCGATGCCACCTAAATCGCCCTGTAACAAATGAGTACTAAATGTTGTGGCTAACTTTCAAAGTTTTAAAAAAATCTTACCAAACGTCCCAATATACCCGGTATTTTACCCTCAGCTTTTTGACGCATCAAGAAATCTAACACTTTGTTGTTGGAACGCATCGCCTGCATGCTTACGGTTTTTTCATTTATCTAGGGAAATATCAGAAGGTTTTTAGATTTGTATTTTATTTTTACAAATGTCCAATATTTACCTCTGCTTTGATTGTCATTATTTGTGTTCTTAATTGTTCCTCTTCCTGTTGAAGTTTTTTCAGTTGTTGTGTTTTTTCCAACACCTCCTGTTTCATTTGTGGCATGCGTTCCTTTAATTCTTCAACCTTCGCTTTTTTCTCTTGTAAACTTTGTTCCGATTCTTCATATGATCCCTTCATACTCTCATATTTACGCACTTCGGCGGTTTCATCATGCTTTAGAATCTTTAATTCTGATTCTGATAGAGCCAATTCTGCTTTAGCCTCGTCGACATTATTTTTCAATTCCATCAATTCGGTTTCGAGTTTTTCACGCTCTTCTATGAGAGGCTTAGTTTGTTCTTTTAAGACAGTATAGTTATTCTGCAGTTCCTCCTCCAGTTCAGCTTTCTGCTTAACTAGACGTTCAAGTTTCTTTTCACATTCCTCAATTTCTTTTGCATTTTTTTCGGGCACTTTTCGCAGCTCCTCCAATTGATTTTCACTTTGGGTAGTTTGAGTTTTATTATGATGTCGACGTTTGTTTAAAATTGTCATTGTTTCTTGTACTTCTGCAAATTTACTATTGGATTTTTCAAGTTTCTTTTCTATATCTTCCTTTTTCTTGCGCATGTTTTCGTGATTTCTAAAAATGGTTTAATGTTTTTTGTTTTATTTTATTTCAGTTTTTTATTTTACCAGAATTTTTATATATTTAAGATAAAAAATGTATATCTTTTCTACAATATGTTTAACTCTCATCTACGTTATACAATTTCGTCCAGCTTTTTCATTTAATATACACAAAACTTGAAAATTATTTAAATTTTTTATTAAATTAAATTCTTTTAAAATTCAACATTATCTGCCTTTAGATAGCTGTGATATTACTACGATTTTGCGGGCATACTTTATAAATGTACATAGGTCCCCTTTAAGCTTTTATCGAAACTTATTAATTAAAGAATTATAAACTTGTTTAAATATGTTGATAATGTACTCCCGAGATACCATTCATTCATGCAACATTCAAGATAAAATTAGTATGTACATATAATGTTTCAAAGAAATCAATACGTAATGCTTATTTAAAATCGTACATTTGATCCTGCTTCAGTACTTGGTGCAATCAAGAAGATTCAGAGATAGGATTTACATCAATTAAACCTAAAAATTTAATTATTAAAATCTATCTATTAGGAACGAGGTTCTAGTTCCTAAAACTACCTCGCGACTATTATTTATTTATATTGATAGAAGCTTATTAAACTTTCTTTATATTCTATTTATTATAAATGCCATAATCGTTCACCTATTTTCTACTTGTTTATTAGTTTTGTTTTTATGACAAACAGCTGCTAATGGTAATTAGTTTCAGAGAACCATTAAAATTGTCTATGTATAGGTTTTCTATAGGAAAATTGTTCCTACATTTAAAGAATTTAATTATAAATTTAATACTATGTACTTACTGCATTTCCTTTTGCACTTGGCTTTCTTTTTCCTCCCTTTCCTTTTTCAATGAATCCACTTCAGTTTCGTGTTCTTTTAATTCGGCCATTATCTCATCATGTTGTTTTGTATATTCTTGCAGCTTCTTATTCTTTTCACTGAGATATTTTTGTATTCTTAGATTTTTTGTACGGGTATTTTCATTTTCTTGTCTTAAATATTCGACAGCCTCGTTATAGGGTTGTTCCAAATCATTCATTTCCCTTTCGGCCAACTTGCAGCGATTGTGTTTTTCTGTACGCTCCTCTGTCAATTGCTCGACGCGTTCGTTTATTTTAACCAAAGGTTCTTTGTAGCGTGTGGTGCCCACAATATCTTCTAAATATTCCAGCATGCCACATTCTGCCTCGGTTTGTCCCTTGGGTTTCATCATAGCAATAGATTCAACTTCACCCTATAAATGTAAAACAAGGAATTTATAAAATATACAAAATTTTAATTGAATACAAATTACCTGTAAAATCAAAAATCTATTGTGATCTAAATCTACATGATGCTTTTTCAGCAGTTTAGCCACTTCTTTGAATTGTACCCTTTTGCCATTGATAGTATAGTATGACGAATTGTCTCTGAAGGCTGTTCTTTCGACTATAATATCACTGTTGGGCACTTCTTCACATGTGCCATCATCCTTGTCCTCGATCTGGCGAAAATGCACTGCTACAGAGCACATGTTTATATTGGGATATCTAGCGGAATTGTGCAAAAGGGTGGAAATTTTTTTGCAACGAATTTTATTGGCACGATAACCGAATACAAATAACATGGAATCTATAACATTACTCTTACCACTGCCATTTGGACCTATAATGGCGGTAAAACACTGCAATTAAGAACAATTAGTATTTTCAGGAGATTGTTTTAGCCACTCTTTCTATCAACTTACATGATGGAAGGGTCCTAGAATAACTTTACCGGCATAACTTTTGAAATTGTTATTTTCAATTTTTCTGATTATTAAACGGGGACCCTTACTCTCTGTGGAGCAGTGAGGTGGTATAGGTGGCGGTATATAAATATCTCCAATACGAGTGCCTCCCTCTTCATCATCAGAAATATTCGCATCGTCGAATGGATCTCCAGCCATGGGCTGCTCTGGCATATTTTCACTCTGTCCACTGTTTGCTGTATTGGTCTTAGCACTAACCAACGATTGCTTGGACGTATTTGCTGCCGAGGATCTACGTTCTGTAGTCTCATTTCCTGCGCTTTGTCTAGCCATTGGTCTTCGCCGCGTTGTCATCTTGGCGCCTTTAAAATTATATTTGTTTTTGAACTTTTGTATGGTCGTCTCTACCAAAAATACTGTTTTTATTTTTGTTTATTACAACTAATTTAGGCTGATAATTAAATTAAATCGTCACTTGTTACATCTAATTAAAAAAACTTAATTTAACAACTATTTGCACAAACAAATGCTAACAAATTCATATGCAGTATAAAAAAACAATTGACAGCGGCGAATATAATAACGCTTCATCAAGCGTTGATTTTTAAATATGATCCCTGCGCCGACAAACATTAACGGCGTTGGCAGCTTACAATAAAAATCCCGGAGGCGGTTTAAAATCGGCTGTAAGCTGGCTAAGTTTTAGCTAATTTTTCAACGAAATCAATAAAACCGGAATCCGAATGATTAAAAAGTGAAATAAATAAAAAGAATTAGATAAGACGATAAAAGGAGAAAAATATATATTTAAAAATAAGAAAATAAAACGAAAGGCGAAAACCATAATATCAACATGGAATATTAAAAAATTAAATGAAAGAGGAAAAAATTAAAATAAATTTCACACAATTAAGTAAAGACTGTAATATGGACCCAATTTTTAATAATTTCGTTAATAATTCCACAAATATTTGTTTACTTTCAGAGATACCTTTTCCAATTAAAAATTAAAACTTTTCGGAAAATTTTATTTTAAGTTGAGATTTTCTATTTGAATTTTTTCTTGAAAATCTAACTTAAGCTGCCTACACACTATGAGAGAAGTCGTTAGATTTTTATTTCATACTGCCAAAACAAAATAAAATGAAAATTGGTATGATTATCAAAAAAAACAAATAGAAAATATATTTTGTTTCAACACTATCAGATTTGAAATAAAATGAAACTTCAATTTGAAAAAATTCAAAGAAAAAACATACATTTTCATTTTGTTTCTGTTTTTATTTGAAATTTGTTTCTGTTTTTATTTTTTTCTTTGTTTAAATAAAAATAAAACTCAAATAAAACTAACAAATCTAATCGTTTTGAAATTTTACAAAAAAATTAAAAAAATCATACGATTTTAAATTTTCCATCCGTATTTTCAGTAAGTTTTATTGCATTTTGTATCTACACTATACTATTTTAAATTTTATTTGAAATTTTCACATGTCGTTTTATTGAATATTATGGTGTGTAGTGAGTCGTGGTTGCTCATAAGATTATTATTTATGTCGAATATTATCTCGGTTTTATATATTAAAGCAATTTATTGATGAAAAACAAATTTTTTAATATAAAAATTCAAAAAAATATAAGTTTTTGTTTGGAATTTTAAAGTTTTAATAATGGTAGTTGTCAAAATTTATCGTGATCAAAAAAGGTTTCATTGCGACAGTAAATTTTGTAAAGATTACCATCATAGCCAAATTATTATCTATTATAAAACTTATCTACCATTTGGCATAAACTGAATTATAAAAATTATTTGATATAAGAATAATAATAATATAAATATTATTTTGTAATTATTTGATTAACAATAGTAATAATATAAATATTTTTTGTATTTCTAAGTTTTTTATTATAACAAATTTTTATATTGGCACCGGTAGGTATTCCGCCGGTTAAAATCATTTTTGTATGAAAATTTACAATATACAAAAAATATACGATAAAAAATAACAAGACATTGAGAAAATGGGGGTTAGTCTGTTTTTTCTTCAGTATGCAATAGTATCGATTTATTTTAATACCACAAAAATATCATCCCTAATTCAGCAGCTCATCTCTAAGCAGCCGTACTAAATTCTGAGTAAAGTTGCCAAACTTAGGAAATTTATGTATTAAAAATACTGAAACTACATTATATACACAAATCTAAGTAAAAATGCTAATCTAATTAATTTTGTTTGGATCCTAAAAATATTTTTTAATAGAAAACAATCCCGAAAATGTTTATTTATAAAAATAGTAAATCAATTTTCTAAAATCTGGCAACTCTTTGCATTTACAGATCAGAATGAAATATGTAAGCCATTTTGTTTTGTGTGCTGAATACAAGAAGAAAAAAAGTATTTTTGCTGCTGCCGTTGGTGACCGACGTCGAAGAATCATATTTTTCTTCTGATTAGCAAATAAAATATAAAAATTAAACACAACTTCATAGATTATATTAAGTATAAACTATATTAAATAAATCTACAGAAAATGGGACGTAAAAAGAAGAAGGCTTCGAAACCCTGGTGCTGGTATCCTTTTCAATAAAACAATAAGAATGACGGGAAAAAATTAAATAGTGAAAAAAATAGCAAACAGCAAGGCGTTGTAATCTAATGAAAAGTGTTGTGTATACTTGTATTTATATAACCTAAACTATAAATATAATACACTCCGGGAGGGGGTACTGTGCTGTTGTTTACGTGTGTGTTGTGTTGGCTGTTCCCAGCAAAGAAATTTGCGGGAAGTTTTCTTTTTATATAAAATTTTCATTTTCAGTAGCGTGTCTTGTTCTTTTGGGTTTCTTGGTTGGTTTCCTTAATTTATTTTTGTTAAATAGGTATTGCAACCGTGAGTTTGATGATGAGAAAATTTTGGTGCAACATCAAAAGGCGAAGCACTTTAAATGTCATATATGCCACAAAAAATTGTATACAGGTCCCGGCTTATCCATACATTGCATGCAGGTGCACAAGGAGACCGTAGACAAAGTGCCAAATTCATTGCCAAATCGTTCAAATATTGAAATTGAAATATTTGGTATGGACGGTATACCCGCTGATGATGTGCGTGAGCATGAAAGACAAAAGAATGGCGGAAAATCCGATTCGGATGATGATGAACCACAAGCAAAGAAAAAAGTTGAAAGTAAGTGTAATATATTGAGTGAATTTGTATTATTTTTTTCTTTTACATCGGAGGACATATTGCTCTTTATTCGATAACGTAAAAGTACTAATTGTCCACAAATATATAGCTGTAATGTTTTATAACATGTACAACGAATGTTGGGAAGTATGTACTTTGATAGTGAGATTGACTGAATTTTCGGATATTATTTTGTGAAAACAAATTGAATAACAAAGAGTAGGGAATAGAAAAGAATTTGTGGTCCAAAAAATAAATAATATTATACATACTAAAAAAATAATTGATAAATTTACTAATTAATAATTTTTATTCTTATTATTTTAGTACCACTTACGGCTCCACCGCCTCCTATGATGATGCCGCCTAATATGATCCCTCCTCATATGATGGGTCAGTATGCTCAATACGGCATGATGCCGCATATGGCAATGCCACCATTTATGGGACCTGGTGGTATACACATGATGCCTCCGCATATGATGCCACCACGACCACTATTTCCCGCAGCCATGGCAACTACCTCGGCGGCTGCAGCAGCAGCGGCTCATGTGGCAGCTTCTGCCCATGCAGCTGCCGCTCAGCAGAAACCAACGTTCCCTGCATACAGGTAAAGTTTCTTTAAACAACCACTCCACTTTATAGAATAAACTCTAGTCTAATAAGTGAATACCTTTTTTAGCAATGCTACCATAAGTGCACCACCCACAACAAATAATCCAAATGCAGCTGCTCCTTCATCTACCACCGCCTCAGCAGCAGGCACATCATCTACAACGTCAGATGCCACCAGTACCACAAACAAAAATCAAGTGGTAACAAATGCTAGTGGTGTTACATCGAAAATTATGCATCCTCCGGAAGATTTGAGTTTAGAAGAAATAAAAGCCCGCAAAATTCAACATAGATTAAGTGCAAGTGGTGGCGCCTCCGTATCGAGGTCATCCTCTACCTCAACGCCTAATACAAGCAGTCATGGTACGAGTATTTACTCATCAGCCGCAACCACAGCATCATCAACGTCTTCCACGACGACATCGCAAGCCGCATCAGCTGCTGCTACTGCAGCGGCCATATCAAAGGCACAGGAAGTGAGTTCTTATTATAGATATAAAAACTATAGTCAATAAAAAAACATACAACAGATTTAACTATGAGAACTAGAAACAAACTGTAAAGATTTAACAACAACTACAACAAAAGTTAAAATATAATTCTTCAAAAAACAAAACAAAAAATAACATTCGCATCGGCAAAAATGCTCAAAATGAATAGCAAATGGAAAAATTTAGAAATAGGCAGGATGAAGTTCAGTTTTTCATCTAGGTCTTTTAAAAAAATACTAATTAGTGGGGAAAGGTTGTAAACAAGTAAAAAGACAATTTTTTATACATAATTTTTAACAATTTCACGTTTTTATTGGCAAATGACGGGACGCTTATGCATTTATTTCAAGAAAAATAAATGTATTGCTGGTCATTTTGCACTATTTTTTAATATTTTAATTAAAATGCTAGAAAATTTCTTTCCATAACTTTATTTTTTCCACATTAAAGTTTACAAAAAACAATGCATAAAGGTCTTCACAATTGATTTTGTTTAATTGATTTCACCCTAAATTTTTACAATTGGTTGGGATGCGGAAACGAACTTTCAACAAGAAGAATTGTTTTCCTCAAAAGACAAAGTTAAGAAAGTGTAATTAAATACTGAATGAAACTACTTAACAAAACATATTTCAAAATACTTACCATAACAGAGTACTTACAGGCGGACAACATAAAAATTGTTAGCAAAATGGTTGGGGAAACAATTAAAATTTTAAAAATATGCAAAATATAGTTTTATTAACATTTTCTCTTCTTCTGAAGGTACATTTATAGACTTAAGCTTTCTATGTTACTTCTATTTGATTCTTAGAATGCCTTCATGCATTTATTCCAAAATATTTAAAATATTATTTTGTTAAAATTTGTTAACAATTTGTAAATTCTTCGTAATAAAGTGATTTCAAGGCCTTTTTCATTGGCCTTTAGCAACATAAATCATAATTACTTTAATAAACCTAAATACATAATAAATTGCGTTTTATATTCTAATTTTAAACATAACAATGTTTTATTTAGTTTTCAAAATGTTGCAAGTTTTGAAAAATTTTTGCCGACATTAAAAATAAAAAAGAAAACATTTAGCATCCTCATTTTTTTATAACAATATTTTTTAATATGTTTCTTAAAAATATTAATTTAAAAGATTTTTTATATATAAAACTTAACAACAAAACTACATAGTGTAAAGAAAACCTTAAAACAAAAAAATATGTGTGTGTATTTTTTATATTTTACGAAAAAGGCAAAAATTAAATTTTTATTGTGAAAAATAAAAAGTTTGAAATTTAAATTAAATTAAAAATAACTGAAAAGAAAGTAACAACAATAAACTTAAACTCATAATGAAAAACTAAAACAAATTCATGTTTCTTTTTCGTAATTTAAGATTTTAAAATAGAACCATTTGAAATGATCGCCCTGGTAAAGATTTTAAAATGAATAACATAAAAAATACCCACCATAGTTCCGAGACATTTTAAAGACAAATTTCTTTTTTCAATAGTTTTTGATTGGAATTAATAAAACAAATCTTTACCCTCTAATTAGAAAAGAATAGAAAAATCAAAAACAAAAACTACAACTACAAAAAACAACAAAAATTTGTAATAATTTCTGTACTTTCTTCTTTTCTCTTTTCCTGTTTTTTTGCACTCTCCATTCACTTACAAATTTTTCCTCACACCTTTACATTGTGTGGGGCACGCGCTTGTGTGTGTTTGCTAAAAATATAAAACAAATCCAAAAATCATAAAAAGGCTGCTACTATGGTTGCTGTGGCTCAGGCTCAGGCCCAGGCTCAAGCTCAGGCCCAAGCGCAAGCTCAAGCCCAGGCTCAAGCTCAGGCCCAAGCGCAAGCACAAGCTCAGGCTCAAGTTCAAGCACAAGTACAAGCTGCCCAGGTTCAGGCACAAGTTGCTCATGCCCAAGCCCAAGTTGTTCAGGCGGTTGCCGCTCAACAACAGCAACACCAAAAACAACTACAAGATCTCAATCGTGCTGTCATGATACAACGCATGCAGGCCCAAGCAGCCGTTGATGCTGCTGTCGCTGCTCATGTTGCTCGTCCCGCTGGCCCAGCTGCTGCAGCAGTTGGTATGGTAAGTTTGGATTTCATTTTCATTAGTTTACTGAAAATTTTCCAAGACGAAAAAAGTATAGAAAAAAAAGAAAGTTACACATGTATAAACAATTTCTCCCGTGTTGAGCATCATTGACAATTCTTGATACACTATAATGAACTACAACGAATTTAATCATAGAATAGGTTTTACCTATCGAAGGTTAATAGGATAGACACGTTTTGTATCTTAGGCTAGCTGTTAGGAAACCAGGGCGATGAGTAGCTTTTTTACATAAATAATGTTTTTGTTTATTATATTTTAATATTTTCAGCGAAAACAATAGAAAAATGTATCCTTGTAAAATCATAATTTATCGTGTTTCTGTCTTAGTTATCACTGACTTTTATACAGAGTATTATAGCATAAGTTCTTGACAGATTTTTTAGTTATTCAGTTGCATTTTCTTGGTATCAATATAAGGATGGTTACTTCGAACGGTTCTTTTCGAATGGAATTATAGAGTAGTCCCCAAGTATTACTTTCTATTCAGTGTCCGTTGCACAAGTTTTCCAAAATAGTTGGATTTGTTACTAACACTATACAAGTATATTAACTTATAGTCAGTCTTCATAGAGATATCTTTAAATGCTACAGATAATCCAAAGAATAGTCCATCGATATATTTTCATATACTATCACTATTGACTTTAAACTAAAGGCTTTAAGCTAATGCATTTCATCAGAATCAGTAAAAATCGCTTTAATTAACGATATATTAATAAATACAATAAACCTTAATTACAATAACGACGGAACTAACTATAGGTTTTTTACTTTTTTTCGAATTTCGGATAAATATATGAAAAATACTGTCAATCTTTGAAAGAGTATTGGTAATTACGCCAAATACATTCTATCCTTTTCAAGCGGCATTTGTTACTTATTCCAACTGAAAAGTTGGTTGGTCCCAATTCATCGTTTTGTCGAAAGTAAAGTGGACACTCTATATTTACAAGAGTGTGTTTTTACAAAAATAATTGCTGATGGTTTTGGTAATAATATCTTTCAGAGATCACTCTTAGTGTGATCTTATTGGTAGAATTTTGTCGATTGAATCTAAGTCGATCAATTTTAAAAGAGCTAAACCCCTATGGATTGCTTTAACCCTCTCACACAGATACATTCACAACGAGTTGGACAGAAATCCACTGAGACATTCACCCCTATTTTGGCAACTTCGGTATTCTGCATTTTTAATTGAATATACGTCACTAAAATAACAACTTGGAAAAACGTAGTTACGATCGTAATGCAGAATACACACAATCGTAAAGTATTGAAATAAAATGGTATTGCTTCTTCTTTTTCTTACAATTCCGTTTTTTGTTGGAATACCAATTTTCGATCGTAATCGAAATGCGTGTTTTTCTATTTTACTGATGTTAGACTAGAATGTGATCTGACAAAATTAGGAATCTTTTTCCCGATAACATCAATAAGATGTGTTATATCTTATCTATCTACCTCTGAGGTGGAATAAGCTTTTTACAATTCCGCACTGATTCCGATTCTAACCTCTAGGCCACTATCGGGCCTGTTGTGCGCTCCTCTTCATGAGAAAAAAATTGTTCATTGAATGTTCAGAACAAATTTCTAAGAATTTTCCAATCAGTGTTAGTCAGGAATATTATTTTCGGAATAACATCACTTCCAAGATACTTGAATCTAACTTCGACGAATGCCTGACAGTGGCGATGAAAGTGCTCCAGAGTTTCACTGTCCTCTATGCTCTACATTTGTCTGAATCCGCACGTCCAATTTTGTATAGATGTGCTCTTAATCCTGTGTGTCCACTCAGAATACGTACCATCACACTAGCTTCAGACTTGCTAATTTTGAGGAGATTTCTCGTCTTGCTCTCATCAGGGTCACCCCATAGGATCTTTGTGGTTCTACCCACCGTTTCATTATTCCAAGAGGCCTTATGGGATCCTCTCACCCATATTTTTAAGTCAGCTTGTGTTGCGTCGAAAGGTTTTGCTTTCGTCAGGTTAACTACTCTTCCCTTTAAAGCTATTACATCGGCCCTTTCGTTGCCGACTACACCCGAGTGGGTTGGTACCCATATGGTGTAAACCTTATCTTTGGAAGAATATTCAGTAAAAGCTTTCTTACAATCCAATACGGTCTTAGATTTAATTCTATCATCTGATATCGCCCTAATGTCGGTAAATATGTATATTAAGCCCTGTGGGCGTCATATTTATTCTAATCCAATTAACACATTCAGTCCGAGCTATAACACACGTTATAGCTCGGACTTCCTGGAAGCTTGTGTTATGATTAGGTAAACGGTGATATATTTCTGTTTCTATGTCCTCAAAGGGACCTGATAGGACCCAAGTAAAGACTCCAGGCAACTTTGTCCTCCAATTTAGAGTCATCCGTGTAACAACGGATTCCTACTGGTATTTTCTCTAGTGTTACGCTCGACCAAGACATTCTATTTGGGATCAGCGTTTCAAAGTTTCCGACATATTCTGTGTCTGGTATGCGATCAGGTACGTCCGATGATTGTGTTTAACCTTCCAACGTTTCCAGTATACATTGATGACATGTCCTATAACCGCTTTCGACCAGTTCGCCTAAAGTAAGGCGCCGTTCGGCTTCACGTGCCGCCTCATATCTTAAATATGTTTTAGTAGGTGGAATATCTAGCAACGCTTCCAGAGCCTTGGATAAAGTAGTACACATGGCTCCACTTTACCCACGCAGCACGTACGCTGAACTTCCTGTAGTAGTTTAATATTACACTTTTTGTCCAAAGCAGTCCACCAGATTATTGAAACATAAGCTAGAATTGGTCTAATTACACTTATATAAAGCCAATTTGTCATAGTAGGACTAAGACCCCATATAGTTCTTCTACATATCGGCCAGCACCGATGTGCCTTCTTGATCTTATCCTCTCTGTGGTGTCTCCATTTTAATTTCCTGTCAAGAATTACACCTGAGTACTTAACTTTGTCTGTCAGCGGTATCTTCTTGCCCAGGAAGCAAGGTTCAGTATACGTTGAAATTTTTGTCTTTTTTGTGAAATGATAGATTTCCGTCTTCGCCGGGTTAACATTGAGGCCCCTCGCTTGAGCCTAACTCAAGCCGTATTCAGAGCCTCCTCAGCTCTTCTACACAAGTAATTTGGATCCCTTCCCTTTAAAAGTATTACGACATCGTCTGCATAGCAGACAGGTCTAAGTCCTTTCTCGGTTAGGGTCCTTAGGAGGCTATTAATCGTGGTTACCCACAGTAAAGGTGACAAAATGCCACCCTGTGGTATACCGCGAAATACCTTTTTCCTGATAGTTATATCGTACAACTCACTGCTTAACCATCTGTTCCTTAGCATGTAGATGATCCAGTTACGGAGCACCGGGTCAACATAAAACTGGTCTAGGGATTGGATGTCAATGCATACCGCCTGTGTATACAGTTTGACATCGAAGGATTCAGCTACTATGTAGTGGACAACTTCATGTGCCCGGATACAACTCAGCACAATTCTTTGGTTGTTATCCTGTGTTATCTGCGAAAGTAGGGATCCGCCTGAAGGTTGTGGTTCAAGAGAAAATTTCCTATCGATTATATTGAACTAGTAAAATTTTCGAAATTATGATTTACTGCCTGTTCCTCTAAATGCGAACGAACATTTCCTTCCCATTTTATATTGAAAACAATAAAAATTTTTGAAATTTATTTGTTGTTTTCAATATAAAACTAGAAAAAACTTGTTCGTTAGCATTTAGAAGAACAGATCCTTAAGAATTAATCGAAATTTAGTTTGTATTATAAGTAAATGCCTTTTCAGCTTGAAACTAAAATTTACAATTTGTAAACATAATTTTATTTATTAAATTCTTAAAACAATGAATAAATTTAGAATCATGTTTAGATCAAAATTTAAAAGATAAAAGCTCTCAGATTGTTTTTATCAGTTTTTAGTAAATTTGAATCATTAAAAGAAAAATAATATAAAATGAAATTTATTCTAATTAGGAAGTCTTAAAGGACAATAAATAGTATGTCTTAGGCAATTTCTTATAATATAACTTTTATAATTAAAATAATTCATAATTGGTATAAATTGCAGAACAAATAGTTTCATACCACAAGACCACATTTAACTAGCACAAACAGGGCCCCAATCCAATAATTGTATGTATGTATGTACATTAGTTTGATTCGAACCGAATAAAAAGAAAAGAAAAGTAAGAGATAACCATAAGACTACTACAAATAAACAAAAAAACAAAGTAAGTGATTTAGTAGTGAATAATAAATAATAATTAATTAAAAAATACACACAGACAAGTATTAAATGATATGAAGTTGTTAAATATTTTAAAATATAAATCTAAATGCTAAATTAGCAAACCAAAGTAAGTACAATTTTTTCAAATTATTACTATTATTGAATTGTCGTAATGGTTGCTGAGTTGGTTGATTGATTGATGGATTGAAATGTCTTAAATTAAATTTAAAAAAGTAATAATAATACACATATATCTAAATGTTTTTGTAAATTGTAAATTTTAAGCAAAACAAATTTTGTATATGGGGCAGTTTTAGTGTAATCTTATATTTTTTCTTTAAATGCATTTTACCAAAAAAAAAAAAAAAAATTAAAACTCAATTAATATTTAGTTTTTTAAGGTTCTCTCAAACCAAATAAATTATGCTTATTTATTTATGAGAAACGTATTAAAATTAAAACAAATTTTTTGTTTTAAGGCAAAACAACTCACAAAATCTCTATCTCTCTCTCTCGCTCTCCAAGAATGAATATGAAAACATGCTCTATCTCCCTCTACATGGTTACAGGTTTTTTTATTAATAATTATTTTTCTTTTATCAAAATTAATTCATTTAACAACATTTAACTCACAATTCATGCAAAATTTCCGATTTAATTATTTTGTGGAATTTTATTTTTATTACTAAATATTATGCAGATATGAACGGTTAGAGGGGTTTTTATTGAAATGCACTTTGGATAATATTGATTCGTTTAATTTGCATGTTAAGAATCAAATTATCCAGAAGTTTATTAGTAGTATGAAGGAAGGTGGAAACGTTTTATATCTTTTCGTAATGTTTAGTTTTTAGAAGTTGTTATTCAACAAAAAGTAGTGATGTCATCGTCAAAATGAATTTGTTAGATGTAAGACTCCAAGAAATTAAAATGTTTATGTTATTTCGAGATTCAAGAAACTACTCGAGGAAGAGTAGTAATGTAATTGAGATTTTGCGAAAAATATATTTTTGCAAAAATATATTCTTAATTGAAACCTGTTCATGTCTGTATAAATTTATATTGGAAGTGTAGTATGTGATATGGAGATTATGAAGAAAACTGGTTAGTACACATTTACAATTTTATTTTATCACTTATAAGTTGTTTTATTTTATATATTTTGTTCAGACCTCATCAAAAAAAAAAAACAAAACTATACATTTATCATGTATTTCATAATGTTTTTCACCAAAATCACAAAATTTTCTAATGTAGAAAACTTTATGTTTTTAACTGACAGTGAGTACAACTTATTGATTTAAACAAAAAAAGAAAATTTTCATATAATTTAAACACTATGTGTCGTTTTCACTTGAAAAGACGACGAATAGTAAGTACGTTTCATATTTGTTTTTCTTAATTTACATATGTATTCCAAACTTTTTGATTATACCTCTACTTACTACTTCTATTACCAAAAAAAAAAAAAAAACAAACTTATCAACTTTTTAAACAAACTGCCTTTTTTAAGTATTCATTGTAATGCGAAGCAATTTAATCAATTTAAAAAAAAAAAAAAATTAAAATGAAAACAAAACAAAAAAACTATTATACACTTCACTACTATTGAACTACAAAAACAAAATAATTATTTACATAAATTATTATTGAATTAATATTATCATTGTTATTATAATTACTATTATAAATTATTGTTCTTATTATTATTATTATTAAAATTTATTATTTATTTTCAATTCTAAGTACCGAAAACAAAATAAACAAAAAAAAAATCAAAACAATCCTAATAACATTTAGAAATTTACTACATAATATTATTATTATAATAATTATTATATATTTTTGTGTATAACTTAATTTTTACTAGACCTCAAATTGTGTGGGTCCTTACTTTATTAATTTTTGTTTTTGCTTTTGTTTTACGTTTAACGACTGAGATTTCTATTAATGTCAAACTATTTTCTATATTTCTTTCGTTTCTTCGTTTTCATTTTGGTGTTTTTGTGTGCTCGTCGTGTATTTGTTGATTGATTGAATGATTGGTTGGTGTTGTTGTAAAACAAAAATAGATGCAATTACCCGGTCAAATGCAATTAGTACAACCCATGATGCGACCTGCAATGGCAATTGCAGCCCATCATCATCCCCATCATCCTGCTTTACTCGGTGGTAATTTATTAAGAGCACCCTCAGGTATACCAGGAATGCCAGCAGGTGGGTTTTATTTAATTAAAAATCCTTTTAACTAAAAAAATACTTAAATAACTATTTGTTTTTTAGGTCTTTTAGGTCCTATGCAAGCAATACCTATGGCCGGAATGCCAGGTGCAATACCCGGTATGGGGGTAATGTTGCCAGGAAATCATATGTTACAAATGATGCCTCGTTTTCGGTGATCATATCCTACAGGCCAACTATGTCTAGCGCCCGTTGCAAACGTGCCTATGTCATCAATCCTCTATCGCGACTACAAAAATTAATTCAAATCAAAGCACTACCGGACAACAGCAATGTTAACACTATTAACCACTTCCCTTAAGCAACGTTTACCAGATGTATGCTCACGTTTTAGCTGACAGGAAGCCAACGCAAGTAAAAAAAAACTAAAACGTAGTTATATTCTAACTTCAATTAGCCACAACCATTGTATAGCACGCCTCATTAATATGCTGAGTAATTAAATTAAAAAAAATAGGCCAATTCAAACTAAACTTAAACAAACCAAAAAACAGTTCAGATTAGACCAGACTAAACCATCCTCCACATCAGTCTAAACCATATAGAAATTTCTATATAAACCACGTATAGGAGTTTCTACTACAACAAGCAAGTTTTGAAAAAAATCTTTTTTCTTTTAAAATTTATGCAATAATTTTGTATTGTTTATAATTTTTTCTCTTAATGTTAGTTATTTCTTCTTTATACATATACATATATATTTTAACTTATAACAATTTATATTTTTCATTTCATCTTTTGTTTTTTTTTTTTTTTGGCAAGTTTCTCTTAAGAAGCCAACATTGTTTTTACTGCAAACAAAAGAAAAAAAGGCTGATTTCTTATTAGCAAAAACTTCTTAAAGTTTGAACAAAAAAATGAACACACCCAAACATTAAAACGTTAGTATTATAATTAAAAGAAATATATAATATACAAAAAAACAGAAATCAAAATGAAAGGGTAAATATTAAACTTAATATTATAAACGTTTGCAATATAAAAATAATTTAATTACTTACATTATTACATTTACTACAATAATAAGGATAAGGGTGATTGATATATGCCAAATTTATTTATCTACTACAAACACATATTATTATAAACAATATTCAATATTTATGTTTGATATTTTCATTATTTTGTTCTTTAATATTTCATTTTTGAAAATTTATAACATCTGGCTTACCGCCACACATACATACATATTTCTTCATCTTTGTTTGTATATTCTCTTATTGTTAATATATAATAGTCTATATATTGAACTCTATATTGTGTATACATTAAAGAGTCCTCTCATATTAAGTACTAACTAAACCCCCCACCCCCCTCAATCACAAATCATAATTTCTTTAATGCTGTACAGTTCACACTAATAACCAACCATACACCTCCTTCGCCTATCTACTTTACTCATCACCATTGTCTGTAACTCCCTTTTTTTAACATTAATTTCCATTTGGTTTATTTTATAAAGCTTTTTTTGGTTTAATTTCCTTTTAGTAATGTTAATTTTTCTATCTCTTTTATTAAACCTTCTTTTGTATTTGTGTGTTGTTTCACTCTTTATTTTTTTAGTTTTTGTATTGTAAATTTGTTTTATGCCACATATTTCCCCGTATTTTTCTGAAATAATAAATAAATAATATAGCTTTATGTTTAATAATTAATATTGTTTTTTTATTTTTTGTTTTAAACATTTTTATGGAAAAAATATGCGAAAAATATGGAATGCAATTGTAAAGTTTAAGTCTATTGTTTGGGAAGTTTTCGTTTCCCACATTAATGTTAAATGGCGACAGGGCTTATGTGCTTTTTGTTCTTCTTTTACACTTCCTTGGAAAATATTTTTGTAAACCTTGCAAGTCTAGCAAACCCCCTAAAGTTTGTTTGATTGGTTTAACAAAACATATGCACAACATTAATCTCGTTGAAAACAAGTCTAGGAAATAATCAAGATCAAATGATATACATATGTACAATCAATTTTTAAAATAATTCTAGGAAATAAAGTGGTTTAAGTTAAGAATGGTTATTCACCCTAAAAAGGTGCAACTTCAATCGGAGACCATAAGATCCATTGTGATTCTTTTCATAGAGAGAAGAAGAAGATCCAAAGATAAAGAAAGCAAAACACTAGAAGAAATAAGAAAGAAAATAGGTAGAGGAGCGAGTTGAATGAAAACATACAGATTTTAGTCTCCCTATAAAACCCAGTCGAAGGAATGACTAATTCCCTTGATAAAAGTCTCGCAATTTCCCCCAGTTCCTGTATTTAGGTTCAAGCCAAGGAACTGGGCAAGTTCAATAGGGTTAGTCCATTGGGCTAAGTGAAGTAGGGTGCGCTGGACAGTTGAATATGTGGCGGGTATCATGGGGACCCTGTCCACATGCTGGGCATATATTGAAGACGGCTAGGTCTCTGCGGGACCAGTAGGCGTTGAACCTGATGCTCCATCCCGATCTCAATTGTGCCAGAGCAAATCTTGTTTTCCGCGGCAGATTCTTCTCTATTTCACTATGAATGGTGGGCGACCTCCAAGAACGTCATTCATGCGGTAACCTGAAACCGCGGTATTGATGGCGACTCTATGAATGACGTTCAAAACTGCTCTATACTAACTCCGATCCAATTGATTCTGCACATATCTTCGTATGCTCTCCTCATATACACGAAGGTCCTTCCTTACATGCCTCGGTGGAGCATCCAACTGTGTGATTTTAAAGTTGGAATGACTCCTCCGGAGGAACCGTTAAAGTCCGTAGGGCAGCATTTTGGCAGATTTGAATATTTCTCCACTGGGTATAAATAAGACAGTCATCTCCAGTTCCTCCTTATCTTCGCATAAACTGCAATAGTCCGGTATGTAGAGAAGAGATATGAATTAAAATAGGTATATTCTTCCTAAAGAAAGAAACGTGAGATAATGACTAATTCCCTTGATAAAACCTAGTAGACTGTGGGGGTTAAGTATCCTCCAGTTCGACATTTCAACCTGAAATTCTGTATTTCAGGACAGTCGTCCCTAGTTTCTCTGCATCTACGCATTACTTGCAATAGTCCGGTATATTAATGTTCCATTTACTGACAAGAGCCCTAATTCAGCATCCCTATAAGAGTCCTTAGATTGCTTTAATCCATTCCTATAAGTATAATGGTAACCCTAACATCAAGTGTTGGTCATAATGTCTTTGATATTTTGCAATACATTCTGCTATTCTAGGACCGGATAAAGATGCGAACTTTAGTTCGATTTTTTTAAATTGTCGCAATTTAAAGATTACACAGGCCATAAAAATTTGAAATAAGTCGAAACCCTGAGACCAAGTTATACTTTTCTAAAGGTGAAGATATCGTTAAGCCTTTATTTTAAAGCTGACAAACTGGACTTTCAGATGGCATACAACATTTTATAAATAAGGTTGTCTTGGAGTGGTTGACGTCTCAAAAAGGCCGAAAAATAGCGTTTTTCAAACTTCAAGACACGATATCTCGAATCTCGAGTAATTCTGAGGGTAGATTCGGATTCAGCGCAACTCAATTCTTTAGTTTAGAAATCGTTTGGAACATTAGTTTGAATTTTCGAACCTTTTCGGTCTATGGGATTTGGTTTAAATCCAATTTGACAACATCTCATATACATACAAACTATCTAACATTACAAGCTAAACAAAAGCTTGTAAAAAGGAGTAGTTACGTAACAGTGAATTTCAGTGAAAAGTATAATTTCTTATGGTTGTTTTTTATAAATTGCATTCATATTTTTCGTACATTTTGATTAAATAAAAAAAATAGAAGTTTATTTTTTTTTCAAATTGCCCTTCACGCAATAGATTATTTAATTATTTTCTACTCCTTAATGTTGCCGTTGTTGCTGTTGTTGTTACTAACCAATTATGCTAAATGACAAAAAGATAAACATCTAATCTAATAATTATAAACATTTCAGCCTACACACGCTTGTACTTTTTGTAGTCGTATATAAATAAATCTAAATCAAAACAAAATTGATTAGTTAAATTAACATTTTCTTTTTAAATAATAGTTGTAATAACAATAATTATAAAACAACCAAAAATAATAACAATTTTATTTAATTTAATACTTAATGTTTTCTTCGTTTTTTTGTTTGTTTTTTTTTTCTTTCTCCAGTAAATAGGAAAATTTACTCACACACTCAACAGGTTCCTACGAAAAAACTCTGCGTTTTGAACGACTTTCTAAAATTGAATTGAAATATTCAACTCACTCAATCCTAACTAAAACCAAATACAAAAAAAGAAACATGAGTATTACTAATTTATGTTTTAAGCAGTGGATGAGTATATTTTTAAAATTTCTTTTTTTCTTTTTAAATAATACTTTGTTTTTTTTATTAAATTACTAGTTGTCGTGTATGTTTGAAATTTGAATTTTAGTTAAAAAAAAGCTAAAAGTAAATTAAAAAAAGCTTAATTTTATTTAATTAATTTAGCAAAAAATATAACATTAATACATTACCAGTAAAACCTTTTATAAAAAAAATGTATAATGTAATCCTTGCGTGTTCTTCCACCTCCCACCACTTACTCTAGACTACGTTTGTGTTTGTAACTCTTTCATCCCTTTGTTCGGTATGTTAAAACATGAAATTATTTGTATTTTAGAATTTATTTTTAAAACTTTTGTTAATATTCGAAATTAGTTTTTTTTTATTATTTAAATAATTTTGTTGTTTTTGTTTTGTCATATAAGTTATTGGAAAACAACATTTTTAATTGAAAACATTAAGGAATTTTATTTATTTAATGGAAATTCCTACAATGTTTACAATGTTGTTGTCTTCAAGGAAACGTCTTGAAATGTGCCGTTTTTTATTAAATTTTCAATTGTGTCGTTTTTGTTCGTGTATCATAAAACCTGTCTTTCGTTTGGAGGTTACGTTACGTATATTTTCAAAACGTATGTACGGTTTAGTTTCGTTAGTGATTGATTTATTATGCCTGTAGTGTTTAATTTTCTTTTCAAATTCAGTAAGTTTTTTTCATTTTTATTTTAATTTTTCTTCATAATTTGCGTTTATTTTCTCTTATTTTCCATTACATTTTTATAAAGAATAATTTCACTTTAATCACGGTTTTCACATTCACACACACATACTGAATAAAAGGTAATAATTTTCATTATTTGTATTGTAACTATTTTTTAAATTATTTTGTTACATTATTTGGGTATTAATGTATTATTATTCAAAAGTATTTTTAATTTTATCTAATTGGTTTTGGTACAATGGGAAAAATCTTCTAACATCGAAATTTTCACTGCAAGGTAATACAAAATTTTGTTTTTCTTTAATTATATACACTTTTTTCTGTAATATTTAAAATTTAATTTGCTTTAAGAATTATTTTTTAGTTTTTTAGGGATTTCATAGTTTGGCGCGTTTTTCTTAAGAACTTTAAACGGTGGATAATTATTTGAATGGAAGTGTTATCACCCCAATTCTGCATTTCATTTCTCCGTTTGGCAGCTTTTATATTCTGAATTTCGACTCGTTGCTCCTTCACTAAAATAACAACTTAGCTAAGATCGTAATACAGAATACAATCGTTAAGCATTGAAACGAAATAGAATTGCTTCTTATTTTTTTTAAGATTCCATTTTTTTAATACCTTTTTTCCATCATTGCGTAAATGAATGCGGAAACGTAGACGAAATACTGATACTCTATTCAGTCGTTTCAGAAAGGTAGGCTCTTCTATAAAGATAGGTTATACTATCCGTCTATCAGGTTGTTTTTGTAAACTTTTCCTAGTAAAAGAATTTCGGGAAAGGGAAATCTAGTTTATAAACTGTTGGAAAACCTTCATTTGTCATAAATCGATTGTTTTCGCTCTTTAGAGTTCTAAAGTGGTTCACCGGATATGAGATGAAATTGAAATGATTCCAATTCTCTGTTTATGTATAAGGTTTTGTTAAAATTGTTATGCACCGGAGACCATAAGGTCCATTGTAATTTCCTTCGTAGAGTCTGAAGATCCAATGATAGAGAAACAAAACCCTAGAAGGAACAAAAATAACATAATAACGGAGAGTGGAATAAAGACAGGTCGATTCCTAAGGTGGTTTCTAAGGCTCTACTTTAGCAATGCCTTGTTCAAATTCTTTGTTTATGTATAAAGTTAGGTTAAGAAGGATTATGCACCATAAATAGGTGTAACTCGGCGACCATAAGGTCCATTTTGATTCGCTTCGTAGCGTGTGAAAATGGTTTCAACCTGGAAGTTTTATCGAATCGATTCACTAAAGAAAGAGTTGTGAGAAAATCTGAATCTCCCCATAAAATCCAGTCGAAGAAATGACTGCGAGGGTTGAGTCCGCAATTTCCGGAAGTTCGTCTCGGAAGCTATTTCTCAGCTTTTTCCATCAGAGATTCTGTATTCCAGGACAGTGGCAAACTAAGTGCTCAACCGTCTATAGTTCCTTTGCATCTACGCATATCCTGCAATAATCCGGTGTGTTTCTATCCCTCTTACTGACTGAGGCCCGTTAAAATCCCTGTCAGAATCCGTGCTATAAGTTATTGGTAGCCCACACATCAAGTATTAGTCAAAAGCCTTTGATATTTTGCAATCCATTCTACTATTCCAGGACAGGTTGATAAAGTCACAGATTCTAT